GGAGAGGCTTCCACTAGAAAAATCCTGCAGGAGATCCTGTAGCCTAGTTTTCACTTTTTGCAATTCCAGGTGAAAAAAAGAAAAGAAAAGAAAGAAATGCTAATGTAGGTCACCCTGTTTTTAGATCTTTGTTCACGGTCACTGCCAGGAGAAGGCCACAATTTTTGTATATTCTGTAATCCCTTAAATGTCATGAGCAGAGGAGCACCGACATCATTTACACAACATCAGTATTTCTACTTCTACCCAGGAAATCTGCGCACAGCCAGTCGAAGTTGCCTGGTTGCACTCTGCAAAACAAACCAACAGAATAAAAATATGAAAAACACCAACTGCACTGACATTCCTTCTAAGATGACGTGTCCATTTAGCTGCTGTACATTAGGTTTTTGTTATTTTCAAAAGAGCAACGGAGAAAAGTCCACCATGTTTCAACAGTGGCAGCATCAGCACTGATCCTTAGGGACAGCATCCTGAGCTGCATTACCAGAATCCAATAGCCTTACACAGCCAGAGGCAACACACGATGCTGCCTCCTGCACCCACCTCTTTCTGTTCAGATGAAGCAGTGTGTTTGGCTCTCTGGCTCTACTTGTATTGATTTTACTGTAAAATAAAAAGAAAGGCGAATCCAGTTTATCATCAGAAGGCAAAACAAACATAAAGAGACAGTTTTCTGTTGTTTCATATTTCGCTTAGATTACTACAATACGTGTTGACCAGCTAATAACGACAAAATGCCACCTTATTACACATTTTGTTTAACTGTCCTCACATTCTCATTAAGGCCGCCAAACACAGAACAGTCTCACGGCAGACATTCTGACAGTCTACGAGATTAATAACAGATGCATTCAGTCTAAGTGTTGCAGTGCCTGAACTCTGCAATAGTGTACAATGGCTCAGGAGTAATATTCACAGGCACATCTAAGTAGAGCAGAACCAACATTAATGCTATTAGTTACACCTCAGCAATTTATTAAATAAGCCAAAAGCTGTGTCAGGAAAAAGGTTATCGCTAGACACACCGATATCCATTTGTGAGGAGCACAGCAGCTTTACAGTCCCACATTTGACTGCAATTTGCTGTTTAGCCTTCTCCCAGCTTATTGTCCCTGTCACACAAACATTTATGAAACCAATAAATGAAAGCAATAAAAAGTCTAATCTTAACTTTTATAGAACAGCGGGCTAGAATACATGCAAACGGGTGATCTGAATGAATTCTGAAATTGAGGATGCTAAAGCTGTGTGGCATTGTGGGGAGGTGCCTGTGTGGACTGGGAGGTAAGGCTGGCAGCCACAGTGCTGCACTAACAGCTGCAGGTAATTCTGTAATCAGCACTAATGCGTATTTATCTCTCCTGCAGTGAGGCTGGTGCCTCCTTATTGATTACACATTCTAGAATTATCACCTGGACCAAGCCACACAGGCTATCCATAACCAAATTTGTGTGTCTGTAGCTCACAGTTAGTTTCAAACTAATGAGACAAGCTTCTGCTAATGTAGGCATGATTTTGCGTATATGTTCAATATGTTGGGATTTTATCTATTAACATCTTCGACCTCCTAAGATGTTAACAGCTTTCGCCAATAAGTTTAGCACATACATATACTAGGCATGATTTCCTTTCCCAACCACCACTCACCCCCCCCTCACCCGCTGGCTACCGTTTAATGTTCCAGGTCTGAGTACATTTCAGTTATTCTCTTTTTCTGTGTAAATTTTACCCCATTACTCTGTCTTTTCTTTATTCTGAACTTAAAGGCCTTTCAATCCTCTCGCCCGCTCGCTCTCTCATGCACACGCATCCTTTTGAAGACAAACGCTCTCGCAGAGCACAATGAGGTTCATGATTTTATGTATTTTGTGGCTGGTTTTTTTTTTTTGAAAGCACAGAGACACTGCCCTCTCACACGCCTTATAGATTGTGAAGCTCGGCTGAAAATTATTCACCAGAGGCAGTTGTCTGCAAGGAAGGGTTGGAGTTCTGTGCTTTTCTTTTTCAATCATACCAGATCAGTACCAGGGCATGGTACACTGCAATCACACAGGTCAAAAGAACTTGACATCAGAGGTGAAATGTGCTCATGTATCAGTATCTGTACTGCCCAAACCCTAAAAGGCTCTGAAGCAGTAATACACACTGGAAAGTCATTTAATTGTCCTTATTCAGATAATACCAACCGAGTGATGAGTATCTAACATTTATAAAATGTACTCTGCAGCTTCAGGTATTAGTTACCAGGATTTGTTTATTAGCTTTTGGATTATTTTGATTTTAATATGACTATTATATTCTAAGAGGCTATAGTACATAGCAGCGGTCCCCAACCTTTTTTGGGCCACGGACCGGTTTATGTCCAACAATATTTTCACAGACTGGCCTTTAAGGGGTCGCAGATAAAAACAACAAAATAAAATCAGTACCGGTACCTAAAAACAGAAGATTTATTCATAACACACAGGGAAAGACCCAGGGAAACCGAGTTAACCATAAAAAGCAATGAAAACCCTGAAAACCATAAATTTCACACCCAAGCCTCACCTCTCGCAGCCCAGTACCAAAAGACTCATGGGCTGGTACCGGTCCGTGGCCCGCGGGTTGGGGAACGCTGGTATATAGTATTGTCACAGAGTATGTAAAGAACACTGCACTATAGGCTTTTTTCTTAATGAGTACTTTTACTTCTGGTGCTATAATTGCATTTTGGTGCCAGTACTACTTCTTAGCTCTGTCCAATATTGAGATTTGCTAAAATGGGATCGTTACTTGTTGCACATTATTTCAAACCGCTCTTGCTGCTTTTACTTAAGTAACAGATCCAAACACTGTTCTCACCACTGCAGCTCAATGCATGCTGCGGTAAATGCTCCTGCATCTTTAACATCGGTGAACTCCCATGTCTGGCCTTTATCCTGCCAGCTGAGTCTCTCTCCAAACAATAATGCATGTCTGCAAGATGTAATCACTATACCCAAGGCTGCAATTTAAGAATATTGGCAATGACAAAACAAATGCAGCCTTTACTGCCGTATACAATAGCTCAGCAGTGTTGCCAGTGGGCCATAGGTTTAGGGAGAGGAAAGGATATCCAGTTATAGAACACTGTAGGTTTTTCCAGTCCAACATCACAGTAAAACCAGCATTTAAACTGAATAAACCTTAAAATAAAACTCAGACAAATATATAATGACACCTTGTAAATTAGGAAAGTATAGTTTGAAACAGGTACACAAGACAGAGATGAGGACACATTTTGGATAATATATAAAAAGAATGCCTAGGCTATAAAAAAGGTATTTTGGAACTTTCTACATCATCTTCTGTGACATTTAACAGGGGAGCTACACACTGAAAGCACTGTTGTTGGTTGGAGACTGTTAAAGCTGAGGTTAGAGAGATTATGTTTAAATTCCATCATGATCATGCCTTAACACATGCAACCTGATGCTCTGTTGAGATTACAGAAACAGTGAAAGGCATTATCTAAGACAGTGGTCCCCAAACTTTTTTTTTTTTTTGCTGGGCCCTCTTTGTTTTACAAGAAAAATGTTTGCGCCCCCCCACCCCCCGCACAAACACATCCTCCAACCACACACACCCATATTTTGTTTCCAAACTCCATTGCGCTTTATTTCACACTTCAAACATTTAGTAAACAATTAAGCAAATACAAGTAAACTGCAATAAATTACAGGTAGTAGTAAAATCCACTACTAACTCTGTTACGCTGTGTCCACACCTACATGGGTATTTTTGAAAACGCAGCTGTTTCTATGCGTTTGGGCCTTTCCTCCACATGTAATCGAATCACAGAAAACTGAGATTTGTTAAAACTCCTTTTCTGCGTTTACGTGTGGACGAGGAATACAGAGTTCATCACGCAACATCAAAGGTATGTGCCTTTTTTCACGTCACGCTGTGCGCCATGTAGTTGTTTACATGAGATGAATTGCAGAATGGCAGATAGAGACAAAATACTGTTACTGTTAATCTGACTATCTGCAGGTTTTACACACTTACATATACCCACGCAGTTACTGTCCCTCTATTTAAAGAGGGACAGTAACTGTCCCCCTGCAAAATGGGTTCAAAAACACAAAAAACTGTGGGACACTGTTTGTCTGTGATTTGAACCGGGGAACAAATCATGGCAGGATCAGGCTGATGTTATTTGTATCCCGCTGTAACTTTACTGTATAAAGAGCTAACATCTCCAAACTGTCAGGAGTAGTTAGTCATTACAGCAAGTGTTTGTGAACTAAAAATCAAGAATGTGGGATACTGTTTGTCCGTGATTTGGAGAGCCCAGCGCATCCTCCCGACGCAGGTAAAACCAATTCTGCAGGGGAGAGCTACCTCTGCACTGGTGCAGGTGAAGCTAAAGGGCAGATATGCTTCAAATATATTAGGAAGCATATTTGGCGATGCTTCATCTCCTGCTTTGCGTTTGTGTGGGAGCCCCGTTAAAAACCTGTCCATTATGCTAGCAGTGTCCAAAGCGTTCCTTTTTTTTTTCTTTTCATACCGCGCCCCCCTGCAATGGGCGGGCCCCACACTTTGGGAACCTCTGATCTAAGACAATGTAGAAACTTTTTCTGCGCAGTTTTAAAATATTAAAAGCTGTGCACTGTGCACTGCAGTTATACAGTGAGAGAACATAAAAGATGAAGTCAAACCACTGAGATACTGTGTAGATTATGTGGGTGTCAAAGACTCATAAACTTGATGATGTTGGAATTACTATGGGAAATTAGCGATCTAATGTTCCTGTAATAAGGAATAACAGGGACTAGTTTCTCTTATGTTTAATGACATGGCAGAAATTGAGTGGAAATTAATAAAATTACATCAGGGGAAAAATATTACACGTGAATGATCAGACTCCTCCATAAAAGTACCAAAATGCCTGCAAACTCCTCTGATTGCCATTTCTTCTACACATCTTTACATTATTAATCCGCAGCTTCCAGAGAGTGAGCAAATGTATTTACCTGCACTGTAGTAGCGGTCCAGCTTCTCCCAGAGGGGTTCATCTTCCCGCTGGAGATTTGACAGCTTCAGAGGTTCATAGATGGAGCCTGAAGAAGAATATACATATTAAACACAAACACTTGCAAACACAGTCCTTCAATAGCTTTCCCAAAACTGATGTTCTTTAGAGGTTTAAGTTTAGCAACAGTTTCAGAATACATTTATTTTTTGTTGGATGTTTCCAGTTAAAAAAGAAGACTAAAATTGTAGGCTTGTGGTTGTATGTATCCATCAAACTAAAGCTGATGTTTACATTGATCTATACAGTAATATAGATTTCATCTCTATTCAATTCAAGTTTATTTCTACAGCCAAAAATAACAACAACAGTTGTTTCAAGGGGCTTTTTAATATAAGATAAAGACCCCAACAATCAAACAACATCCTATAAGTGGCATTTTGCGATGGTGGGAAGGAAAAACTCCATTTTAACAGGAAGAGACTTCTGACAGCCATTAATTTATGCAGAAATTAAAAAGGTAGAGACCGAATTATGAAATAACGCCAAAATCCCCATGTCTTTTTCCATGTTACGGCACAATGGACAAAAAGTGTTTTTGCAAACATTGTGATATCACAGTAAAGCTGACCTTAGAACTTTTGGATAGAATAAAGAAGTGTTGACATTTTCTATCTGACTGTAAGAATTAGCACATAATGTCTTGAGGCATATCTTGAGTGGTCAAAGTGAGTTTGACCTTTGGCCACCAAACTCTGTTTATCTTTAGAGAGATTATGACTTGTCATATCTATTGGACAAACCTTTGTATGTACACAAAGACAACCTGAATGGATAATGCTCTGGCCACGGCTTTTGTCAGCTTGGGACACAAGAACAGGCAGCAGACATAACACAGAAACAATACACACATGCTATCAGTACATTCTGTTTTTCACTGCAACACATCTGTGCTGAGACTCACAAAAGTCTCAGCACACAAAATGATATTCAAGCCCTGAGCTAAACATTCAGAAAGTACTGCGACTCGTGAGCAGACATTTTCCTCTGAACTGAGAGAGAGTAGCAGTTTGAGGGAAGCCCCAATTTGTTAGACTTTCTCTATTTTCAGACACTTTTCACTTTGCTGAGATTTGCATTTTAATAGGTTTGACCTTGGGTCAGTACCACAGGTACTGAAAAATTCACATTCTTACTGAAATTAGCATAATTTCCATCAGCATAAAAGTTGCTGGGGACAAAGCCAATCCATCTCTTTTTAAAGATAACACTTTAAACAGGCATGGAGGAAGTACAATGTTCCAATTTTAATTTCTAACATGAGATCAGACAAATGTAAGCTGTCAGTGTTTGCTTGGTTTTAAACAATCCCCTGACTAACTTCAGTGACTTCATTAATACTGTAAATTCATTTTGTGCCATATCAGGATCTTTCATGCTTACTGTGGAGGAGCAATATAATTCTTCTGAGTTTAATCCACACTGTATCAACAGTGTGAAATTACAGAAGATTATGGGTAATACTCTACTTTGCACGTCAGAATTCCCAACAGTCCAAGCATGAGATTGTTTTGTTTTCTTGTAAACACGGAAAAAAATTGTTCTGACCTGAACTTTTCTGGGTTGCTGTTTGAAAGAATAGGATGATCACATTCACAACATATGTTTTCCTGTAATCGTGAAATAAGTATATGGTCTAGAGTCCAGATATCGTCACCTATGTCCCCTTCAGCTGTTTCCCTCAGATCTGCTGTCACTACTTACCGAGTCTGTAAACTGTCCGGTGGAGCTTGGTAATCGCAGCCGAACCGGCCATTCTCAAAAGGTGAATTTAAGGCCAAGCGTCTCTCAGCTAAATCACAAATCTACAGCAATTCACAGTAAATGAGTTAGTAGCAGAGAGTTACAATTGTAGACATGCATGAATCAACAACGAATTACATCCTGGGATGACGACAATAATCAAGAACATGCAAGAAATTACAATCCATTGTATTTCTTTAGAAATGAGTGATGAAGAGTAGAGTTATAATGAAAGACGACAATACATGGTTTAAATGACTACATCACTATATTAGGACATAATTTGACTAATTACTGCACTTTATTCTTCATAACATACACTTCTAAATGGTATGCTTTCAGAATGCTGCGTTATTAGGCTACACTGGGATGCACCTCTTGTTAAATCATAATTTCACACCAAGATCTCTTTTAAAGTAGATGGTTATCAGCAGTTCTTAAAATGGTTGGCTTCTAACAGCTGGCGACAGTTAAGAGTTTAGGTAACGTTTGTGCAATATCCGACACATTCCCCCAGCGCAAAAGTAGCATAATGTGTCAGCTTTCACAGGCCCGCACAGTCCTTCAGGAACACAGTTTAACACAGTAATATACAGCAGCACAGTTTTACTATGGGCGAGATCTCACAGCGACCTGATGAGAAGCTCTTAAAATAGCTCTTGAGTGCTTCACATTTACACCTCTGACCTTTCATGCTTCTACCAACAGTGCAGTAGACACATTAAAACGGGCAGAACAGAGGCACTACGTACAGAGGCACTGCAAGCACAACAGAAAAAGCGGGCGTGTCACAATGCAGAAGATCATGCAAAGTTATGTCAGACCTGATCGCTTTGATCGGGCTTTAAATTCCAAGAGCTTCCACCCGACATCTGCTAAGCTCGCCATGTTTTTGAAAATGTTAAAATAGCTACAAAGCTAAGGTGTATCCGGTAGCTTCTTTCAAAATAAAACGCGAATCGGGCTTCTCAGCATAGGGTAAGAAATCATAAGGCTAAATTCTGCCGTGGCTTACTGGTAAATAAAGCCCGAGTGTTTCCACAAATTATCTTCTGCGTGTTAAGATATTGAATTTATTTTTATTAACGCACTCATTTCGATAGTTAATATGTGTCTCAGATTTATTAAGAACACAATTTCTTTCCGTTTCCGGTTTGCTTCTAAGTAACTCTCAGTGACTTGATAGCTGTGAAATAGCTCGGGGAGCACGACACTGACGTAAATAAGGAAATTCTAATGTCATATTATTTATCTTTATTTTTAAACGTTACTTGCAGCTTTTCCCACTAGAAATAAAAAAGCACGACATATACTTAACGCCGTTAAATCTTATGTGTAATTACTTAAAAAGCAGCTACCATTTCCTTCTGCTGTAAAGCAGTGCGCCGTATTACAGTCAGTGTTGTTGTTGGGAGCTACACTGACAGGAAGATGATTTGGACGCTTAAATTAATTACTTTAGCGTTTTTGTTACTTTTGGGGGGACAGTATAACACATTTGCTCTTCAAGATGTAACGGCCGACCTTTTCGGTCCCGGGAATTTTGGGACGGTGGCAGCTTTCGGAGATTTTAATTCGGATAAACAGACAGACATCTTCACGATCAAAGAACGTAGGTTTACTCATCCACACTTCACACAGCAAACAGTCAGTAAGGCTTCTTATTAACAGTTTGCACAAATTATGTATATTGAGTTAAAACACTCAATGTAATCAATTTAATATAAAATGTAATTTGACATGTGTTAATGTATATAAAATGCGTTTTTACCTACACATTGAGCTACAATGTAGCTTTGGTTTGCTTCTCTATTTTTAAAACCGAAGTTTAAACGTCTCATAGCAGCCAGAGGGGGGGAAGTCCACCTCTGGACGACAATTAGCCTGGTCTTGCTGTATTTTTATTAAATGCACCTGTGTTTTCTCTGCAATGACATTTCAGAATGACTTGTGAAAAATATATACTTAAATAAAAAGTAAGTAAACTTAAATTTTTTGCACGTCTTTATATTGTCTTCTTTTTGTTTCAGAGACTGATTTGGTCATATTCTTGGCTGACTCCAAACCACCTTACTTCAAGCCCAAAGTTCAAGCCAAAAACATTTTGGGAAAGTATGCATATGTATTTGTTATTTCACTCTATTAGCTTTATTATGGCACTGGTCTTAATTTATGCTTGTAAGTATGTTCAGTGCTGACAAACTGAACGTACTTGCACTTCAGCATTATGTTTACTCAGTACTTTGCTTGCTGTTTCAGAAACATCACCAGCGTGGTTCCTGGAGATTATGATGGAGACTCTCAGATGGATGTCCTTCTCACAGCTAAGAATGGCCAGGAAACAGAAGTTTTCATCTTTTGGGGGCACAACCAGACATTAGGTACAGCTCTAATAGTGATTTATTTACAAATGCTGCCCTGCCGTCACAGGAAAAAGCCATACCCTGGACAAGTCGCGAGTCTCTCCCAGGACTAACACATAGAGATCGACAACCATCAATGCTTGCTGAAATGGAAACTCAAAAACCGTTTCTACTCTCTGATGATACTTTAATTTTATTTAAATTGCATTTGTAAACAATGGTTGGTAGAGAGAACAGAAAGTCTTGGCCTCTCTATCCACTTGTTACAACAGAAGCAAAACATTGTCAAGATTATGCATTTGCTCAGATTTGTCATTGGTGATACTAAACTTTGTATCCACACATATTAATTTCCCCACAGATTTTACTGCTTATATTACAAGCTGATGGAGGCATATTATTGCAATGTAATTCTTAGTGAATCAAACATTGCTGCAACACATGATGTAACATAAATCACAAAATGTGTACATTGCCTGTCAAACTTTCCATTTGCTGTTTTAGAGTTGGTATTGCAGTAATTTACAGTGAAGAAAGCATAGATGTTTCACTTTTAGGACCTTTTGGAGGGTCACTGCCACAATATCATGACTCACTGGGAAACCGTAATTTAAAAGACACATTGTTAATTTTATTAGCAACTGCTGTCCTTTTTTCTTTTATAGGCTATCACCATTCAGTCCAAAACAATAAACATTAACTAGATCAATAAAAATGATACCTCATTTTCCACATGTTACCAACTTTTGCTTAATATACAATGCCAGTAGAAGGTCATCACCTGATTATTCAGATTTGTTTCTTTTTTAGTTTCTTTTTTATGTGTATATTTTCTGTTTAGGGATTCCTTTTTTATTGAACTACAGGCAGAATATATATACAAGAAAAACCATTGCATAATGAATATTTCAAGCTTTAGCTATTTTTAGCAATTTGTAGCTGTTGACTTCAGTTAAGCAAAACCAGTGATTTCTGTTCTGTGTTCTTGTCAAACCATTAATACTCAAGGCCTTTTTACCTTCTTCATTTTGTATAGATATTGGAGGGGGGATTAAGCTGAATCACACCTTTAGTGATCAACCTCTTGTCATGGAGTAAGTATCAGTGTAAATTTACATGAATTGCTTTGAATTTTAAATAATTTGCTTGATTTCGATTTTTGGCTCCATTTGTGCATTTTTAGTCAAACTTGGTTTTTACAGAGTTTTTTTTTGTCTTAGTTTTCAATAATAAATCTTATCTAACTTTTCCAATATATTAGCAACCATTACCTCATGTTTTACCTTCCTCATCATTGAAGTCCTTCAAAATGACTACTTTGGTGATCTCCGTCTCTCCTGAAGTCTTGTTTTCATTAAAAGAAAAACAATCTTTTCAGTTTTAATGGGGACATGATTCCAGATGTTTTTGGAGTCATCAGCTCTTCCTCCAGTGTAGTCTGCTATCTCACCAAAAGGTAATGGAAAAGTTTCCAAACTAAGAGTTTTCTATCTTTATTTCTAGTGCTGTTACACCTGAAGTTCAATTCTGTGGTGTGTCTAAATTCTTTGGTCGTTTTATAACTTTGGCTTCTCTTAGGACTGAAGTGTGCAGCAAAGCACTGAGTTTAACTGGCGCCATGCGTATGCCTCACTCCAATGCTTTCATTGACCTCAACAAGGACTTCGCTGCTGGTAAGTCTGATGTTTAAGCATTGCCTAAGCATGAATAACAACTGTAAAATGCTTTGGTGTTCTTAGTACAACTTGATGTTGTCAATTGTATCAAGTCTTTCAGCTTTGCATGTTTTCAAAACTGTCACAACCTTGTACAAAGGTTACATTGACTTAAGGGAAATTATCAGAGAAACTTCAATCATAAATGACTGCATATTGCAAAAGTGCCTATGATACTTTACTGATGTATCATGCACATAAATTAAAAAAAACTAAAATTAAACTAAATGAGCATTATTTTATTCCTTTTTTGGTCATCTTTGGCTTCATGTTGGGACTTTTCTTTTGTTTCTGTAGTGGAATAATATTTCCTGCATAACGATATAGAAATGTTTTCCCTCAATTTATGATTTGTGATCTCCCGGCATAATTCACCATCACTGCGAATGCATTGCTTTGTTTAACTGCACAAATTTCTTACCCCTAATCATCTCCTGATTTGCCCAAAATATACCCAAATCATCTGTTGTTTCAAATCGTTCAGCAGGTCGATAAAGTGAGCTTACACTGTACAGTAAGGTGCTACAAGGATCTCATTTTCTATAATTTTGAGACATTTTGTGTCACTGCATGTTTGCACTACGGGTGTTTGATAACCTTGAACGTGGAATTGAGTACAGCTACTAAGAGGAAAAACAGGTGGAAAAAATCCAGGAGGAACCTTTCCAATGCTGTAGCTGGCCCATGTGTGAGGTTGGGAGTTCACAGAAACTCCCCACTAATCAAGCCTTTTAGACGTTGTTTCCATTGTGACCCAAGGGAGGATGGAATAGGTTTGCACCACCACTGATTGCAGCAGTTTAACCAAGCCCTTTGGGCATAGGTTCATGGCACACTAAGACGTAGCCTGGAATTGGTAGGTTTTTTTTCTCCCATAAAAACAACTCTAGAAAACCTCCTACAGGGCCTGGTTCCTACAGCCAGAACATACAAGACCCCAAGCGTGAATAATGTTTACATAAAGCCTGGCTTTGAAAACACTGCCTATGGTCACCTCACTCTAAAAGTGCAGTGTTGCCTTCCACTTAACCTTCTTGCTAGCATATTGCTCCATTTCTGTTGGCCTATGATCAGTTTCAGCTGAGACCTAAATCTCTTCAACACTGTTTTGTTTTGTGGCTCATTCCTCTGCTGGTGTCCTTGTACTGTTTTGGTGTAAAGGTTGATACCTGTTATCACCTATTTTAAAGCATGACTTCTGAGATCTGTATTTATATACAAGAACTAGATTGATTTTCATATAATGCACAGTCCATAATGGAAAATAAATAAATCTGCTTTTTTGGGGGTAAATAATACCTTAATGACATGTCTTAATTTGACATATATTAACTTCTGAGTGTCACTGAGTTGAAGCAGTAGATAAGCAGACTGCAAAAAGAATAGGTGAGGATCCAAAAAAAGTAACTGCAGAAAGAGGTAGGTGGAAATAAAGCAGGCCTCATTCTGCTGATAAGCTCTAGGCCAGGTCAGTGACTGGATCCTTCCTTGTGCTGCATGAAGTAAAATCAGTCCCGCTTGAGTCTCCTTTGTTTCAGTGGATAAGAAGGTCCAGCTGGAGACTGAGTCTTTTATAGTCTTTTATTTAGTAAAGCTTATGAATTGATTGAAAAGTAAGCATTCCCCCCCACCCTGCCACCCAAAAAAAGAAAAATCTGGATCCTTTTGCTGTTAAAATGTATCATTTGTTAGTTTTTACTTATTTATAGTGACTTTGTCCATAATGCCAGTTTTTCTATTTATTTGTATCAGTCAGTGCAGCACGGAGACCCTGCCTACTGTAAACCACAGTAATCACTGTCTTCTTAC